AACATATTATCTACACCGTCCATTTTCAAGATTTTCATATGTTCATAGAACTACTTGATTTTAACCATTTTTGAAATTTAAAATTTTTTAATTAGATATAAAAAATAGATTTTGAGATAATCTTAAGAACATTTTACATCAAAATTATATACCATGATCAAATTTGAAGGTGCACCTTACCTCTACAGCTACGGATGCATCCGTATGCCAACTGCGCCCAATAAAGTAATGCAATGATTAGAACAAAAAACAAAGATACTACTTGACCATATTAGTATCTTTATAAATCATACTAAAATACAATATATAACATACTTCATACTTCAAATGATAAATATAGTATAAAGTAATTATATAACCATGCGTATTAAAACTACATCCTATAATAATGTAGGAAAATTTTCAAATACAAATAGAAATGAAATCCAAAATTTTTCCCTTCTCAATTTTCTGCTATTTTCTTTTTTCCTTTAAAATTATTTTTCGTCCTATTTTTCTTCTTCCCTATCTTCCTCAAATAAAACAAACAATTGCCTAGCTTTTTGTTAACACATATGGCCATAAGCCTTAGCGTGGCGTTGCCTAGGTTGGAAGGCCTACAATTATGGAAGTAATCATATGCTTATCACATCCAACGTTCACATGAACCAACATCCATATGAACGTTGGACGATATCCCTAAGATCAGGGAAGATCCTTTTTCAGTGACCCGTTAAGAAATACAATGGATAACTTTTCTTCTCCCTATAAAATGGAAGCTTGAGAGAGGAAGAATGCAGTACAAAAGAAAGAAAGATATAAATAGTTTCATATGTAAACATAGAACTCTTCTTCTCTCTTTAAAAAAAGCAAAAAAAAAATACGGCCTCTACGAACACCAACTTCACGAAATCTCTTCTCTGATCTCGGGTTGGTCTCGTGCTCCATCAATTTTTGCTAACACTGGTAATCTTTATTTTTCCTATGAGTAGAAGCTCGAAAGCATTTGGAAACTCATAAATCTATTCCATTCCAAGTCAATGGTATGTTTGCATGTCTTTGTATTCCTTCTTTCTATAAACAAGCTCCATCCCTTTATTTCTTCGGTTTTATTGATTTTTACTGATATTCCTTGAGGTTTGTTCAAATTGATTTTTAAAAAAAATCAGTTTGGTTTTGTTACAATTCGATTTTACTAATATTTCGAACTTTTGATGGAGAGACGAGAGAAGATAATGGAGACAAGAGAAGCGGTCAAAAAGCAGCTTTCGCTCGAATTTACTAATGTTGTTGTGTCATGTTTGAACTTAGTTGTTAAGAGTTTATTTTATTGCATATTTTAGGGGAAATGGACATGAAAATTGTGTACTCTTGAATTATGTTTTTTTTTCTATGTTAATTATATGAAAAATCATATTTTTTTTATCTTAATTATATGAAATGTCATATCTTTTTATTTAAGCATAGTTATTTATTTCGCTATTTTTGTGGGATTATTCAAGTGAAAATACATGTCCAGAAAAAATAGAAAAAGAGAAAAATAAACGTGAATAATTTCTATAAATCTAATAATGCAT